CCTTCTCCATGACAGGCGTGCCCTCTCCGTGACAGGTGTGTCCTCTCCATGACAGGCGTGTCCTCTCCATGACAGGAGGGCCTTCTCCGTGAAGGCCATGCCTGACCCTAAGTTTTTTACTCCAGCCGCCAGCTCACCTGGTCCCTGACACTCAGAAAGCAAAGCTCCGTGTGGTTTCCCTCCACTGTCTTCCCCTGAGACTCTCTTGGACAGTGACCCCGGTCACGCTTAATGACACGGGGAAGTTCGGAAAGGGAGCCATGCACAGGACTGACTTTCTCCGCGTGCTGAGCGCCGTGTGGGCCAGCCTCTCCCACATCTCATCTCGCTTCAACCCTTAAAACCACGTTCTTGCTCCAGTTCTTCCGGAAAAGAAACTAGAGCTTCATGACAGGCGTGTCCTCTCCGTGACAGGCGTGTCCTCTCCATGACAGGAGGGCCTTCTCCGTGAAGGCCATGCCTGACCCTAAGTTTTTTACTCCAGCCGCCAGCTCACCTGGTCCCTGACACTCAGAAAGCAAAGCTCCGTGTGCTTTCCCTCCACTGTCTTCCCCTGAGAGTCCCTTGGACAGTGACCCCGGTCATGCTTAATGACGCGGGAAGTTCGGAAAGGGAGCCATGCACAGGACTGACTTTCTCCGCGTGCTGAGCGCCGTGTGGGCCAGCCTCTCCCACATCTCATCTCGCTTCAACCCTTAAAACCACGTTCTTGCTCCAGTTCTTCCGGAAAAGAAACTAGAGCTTCAGAAAGTGAGCAGTTTCCCCGAGGTCAGGGGGATGGGAAGGGGCAGACTAGCAGGGAGGGACCGCAGAGCCCTGACTCCGCCTTCCCTGCAGCCCCTCTGTGACGGGCGGGCCCTGGCTGACAGCTGACCTGCGCTGGGGCAGGGGCGCCCGGCGGGGGTGGGAGCTGGACAGAGCCGTCCAGGAAGAGGGCCAGGACCTGCCCTGACACAGCAGTGGGCGGGCGAGAGGTGTGGGTCAGCAGCAGAAGCAGGAATGGGCAGCGCGGTCAGCACCACGGACAGCTCCACGCGGCCTCCTGCTCTGGGAGGGGGAGGAGCTGTGGTCCCTGACCCTGGCCAGCTCCAGCCCCTCCTGATGGCTGTCCTGAGGGCCCCCAGGGGCTGTCCTGAGTGGCCCCAGGGGGCAGTCCTGAGTGGCCCCCAGGGGCTGTCCTGAGTGGCCCCCAGGGGCTGTCCTGAGGGCCCCCAGGGGCTGTCCTGAGTGGCCCCCAGGGGCTGTCCTGAGGGCCCCCAGGGGCTGTCCTGAGTGGCCCCCAGGGGCTGTCCTGAGGGCCCCCAGGGGCTGTCCTGAGTGGCCCCCAGGGGCTGTCCTGAGGGCCCCCAGGGGCTGTCCTGAGTGGCCCCCAGGGGCTGTCCTGAGGGCCCCCAGGGGCTGTCCTGAGTGGCCCCCAGGGGCTGTCCTGAGGGCCCCCAGGGGCTGTCCTGAGTGGCCCCCAGGGGCTGTCCTGAGGGCCCCCAGGGGCTGTCCTGAGTGGCCCCCAGGGGCTGTCCTGAGGGCCCCCAGGGGCTGTCCTGAGTGGCCCCCAGGGGCTGTCCTGAGGGCCCCCAGGGGCTGTCCTGAGTGGCCCCCAGGGGCTGTCCTGAGGGCCCCCAGGGGCTGTCCTGAGTGGCCCCCAGGGGCTGTCCTGAGGGCCCCCAGGGGCTGTCCTGAGTGGCCCCCAGGGGCTGTCCTGAGGGCCCCCAGGGGCTGTCCTGAGTGGCCCCCAGGGGCTGTCCTGAGGGGCTCCCAGGGGCTGTCCTGAGGGGCTCCCAGGGGCTGTCCTGAGGGCCCCCAGGGTCAGTCCTGATGAGCTGCAGCTGGAGAGACTGGTCTAGACACCCTGGGTTTCTGGGGAGCGAGCTGGTCCAGTGCCCCCCACGACCGCTGAGGTCTGTGAGGAGCTGGGGGGTGGGGGGGACTTGGAGCCCTGCCGGCGGGTGGGATGTGCTCACACCCTGTTGCCACTCCCTCCAGCGCCCAGACCACCCAGTCCAGGCGGCCACTTGTCTGAGATCACGGGGCACGTCGGGTCGGGTGCTCGGGGGCAATGCCGAACGCCAAGGTGGGGTGCGTGACGCGTCTTTAAATCCCCCACGGAACAGCGGTACCTGCCACCGCTCCTTAAACAGCTCCCGACCTCTCCCTCAGGCGCCCACACACTTTAGAAAAGGACAGCCAGTCACAGCAGCACAGGGAGCTGACATGGACGGTGTGGGCGCGGAGGACAGAATCCCCCGTTCTCTGCCGGCGGACAGAGCTCAGGAGGCAAAACCCAACCGGCGTGGCCTGGTGGACAGTGAATCTCCGACAGCTGTCACATTACACACACACCACTCACCACACACACATCACACACACACCACACACACACACCGCACACCACACACCGCATACCACACACACACATCACATACACACACACCG